AATATTTTTCTTTTTTGTTTTTAAGTAAGATTTTTTGTTTGATTAAAAAATAGACTTTAAGGTGCATTATTGTTATTATTATTTTTTATGATTGATGTCAATTATCCAAATTTATGATATCAATTTTTATTTGTTTAAAAAATAACTTATATGAGATTGTATCATATTAATTATGGATTTATGCAAGTGTTTGAGGGATCACTTGTACTCTAAACAATAATAATTTTTTTTAAAAAAAATAAAAACAAATATGATAATTGAGATTTAAAAATATATTTATTTTATAATATTTAATTCAAAATTATTTTCATTTAATTTTACTAAATCAATATAAAAAATATAACTAATAATACAAAATAACAAAAAAAATTTAATCTATAAATTAATCCATAACCCGTTAAGGTTGAGTTAATGTCAATATTTCCTAAACCACAAATTACATATGACCCAACTTGTAAAACCCATAACCCGAACCCAAATCAACCCGTTCGTTAGTTACCTCTACTTGCAAGGTCCATTTTTATGGTACTAATTAAAATATTTATAAAAAAATTATTTTACAGTCTCATAAAATTAAAAATCGAATGTATTTTGGTCATTGTAGTACAACTCCTTGGGCTATATATAAGACGTACGAGTCTTGAAACTCAAGATAAAAGTTGTAGTACATCCATTTTCTTGTCTTGCATTGGAAACAAGGCCATGGGTTTCCTCAGAAACTCGTGTCAGCTTCCACTCTTCTTCCTAATCGTCTTCCTGCTTTCTTCCTCTGCAACAGGGTTCAAGAGATTCCGAAGATCAAGATTCAACCATGAACCCGAAATCACTACTTCTGCCCCTTCAAACGATACCCAGACCCCCTATTTTTACAACCAAACACTGGACCATTTCAGCTACAAACCTGAAAGTTACATAACTTTTCGACAACGATATGTGATCGATTACAAGTACTGGAACGGAGCCAATGCCCCAATCTTTGTGGATTTTGGTGGAGAATGGAATATTGGCAATGCTCCATCCAATGGGTTTCTCACAGCAATTGGTCCTCGTTTCAAGGCTTTAATAGTCTTCCTAGAGGTATATTAATAATTAGAAGAAAACTAATATTCTTCTAATTATGTCCTTTTCTTAATCAAATACCTTTTTGTCGTTTTTAATGGATTATTTACACTAAAAAATATGTATTCATGGCATTTGTGGACAGCATCGATTCTATGGGCAGTCAATACCATTGGGATCAATGGAAAAAGCAATGAAAAATACTAGTGTTCAGGGTTGTTTCACTACAGCGCAAGCCCTAGCAGATTATGCGGCCATTATTCTTCATCTGAAAGAGACAATACCTGCTGCTGAGAGCTCTCCCGTAATTGTCTTTGGCTGCTCTTATGCTGGCAGTAAGTAGCACTAAAATCTAAATTCAACAAGTATAATACGTACAGCCTGCTTAGCTTAGAATATATTAAATCTTAAACTTGATAAAATCAGAAATTTAGTAGCAAAAGCTCCCTTTTAAAAGTTATAAGTTTATATATATTTAACTTCTTCTAACTTTCTAAAAACTAAAATCAAAACACTTTTCAAAGATCTGCATTTAGTCTTGATTAAAAGTTATCTATTTGCAAAAACTAGACCATTTATATTGTTTCTTTTTTCTTCCTAACTATATTTCATCTATATCATTGATTATATCAGTGCTTGCTGCATGGTTCCGGCTCAAGTATCCCCACATCGCCTATGGTGCTCTAGCTTCGTCAGCTCCTGTTCTCTACTTCGATGGCTTTGCACAACAAGTTGGTTATTACACAATTGTCTCCAAGGATTTCAATGTAAAACGCACCAAATTAGTTTAATTTATTATTTAATTTTTTTTCCATAATTTTCCAGTTATTATACTTAGAATTAATTACTTACTACAATAAATGGATATAATAGGCAACTAGTCGGAGTTGCCATGAAACCATTAGAAAATCATGGGAGGAAATTGACCTAATTGCTTCCAGGCCTGATGGCCTCTCAATTCTCGGGCAGAAATTCAGAACTTGCAGGTAATTTTATTTATTTATGATTCAATATATTAATTAACGTCTCTGTTTAAATAAACTCTGAATTACCTTCTTGATTTTTTTCTTCTTAATTCAGTGAATTGAAGAAAAGCTTTGATTTGAAGGACTACTTAGACTCAATCTATGCTGAAGCAGCACAATACAATGAACCCCCGCGTTACCCCCTAACCACTCTCTGCCGTGCCATTGACGGAGCAGCCGAAGGAACTGATGTCCTCGGCCGGATATTGGCCGGAGTTGTTGCTTTCGTAGGAAACCAGTCGTGCTATGACATGGATGAATACAACGAGCAAACTGATACCTCTCTCGCATGGGGTTGGCAGGTGATTGATTAAAACAACAAAAATATTACTTTTGGCCCAGACTGAAAATCATAAAAATATTACGTGCATTCCATTAATGACATTCTAGCAATTTTTCAGCCCAAACTAACATACTTTTTTTAGTTAGTTTGGACAAAAAATTTCAACTTCTCAAAATATATAATCAATTCTTGGTATATAATTATCCATACATGTATATTCAGTATGTTTATTGATTGATTCATCAATAATTAACTGGCAACATATATGTGCAGACATGTATGGAGATAGTGATGCCCGTAGGGCATGAGGTAAATGATACGATGTTCCAGTTTGCACCATTCGATCTAAGCAGCTACGTAAATGACTGCGAGAAGTTGTATGGTGTACAGCCTCAGCCTCATTGGATCTCCACTTATTTTGGAACCCATGTATATTACACTATATATCCATTTAAATACTTTAAATACATACAAATGCATGTTATAACAAATATTTAGGCTTAACTGAATAAGGTTGTTATTTTGCAGGATTTCAAGTTTACTCTCCATAGATTTGCCAGCAACATTATTTTCTCAAACGGCCTAAGCGACCCTTACAGCAGCGGCGGGTAGACAAAATTAATTAAACCTAAAAATTCTTTCTTATATATATATTCTAATAATAGATGGCGAGTTTTATCAAAGTTTTTCTTGAATAATAAAAAAAAAAAATCAAACGGCATTAACTTTTACTAAAATGTTTTTCATGTTTGGTGATATATATAGGGTGTTGGAGAATATTTCAGATAGTGTTGTTGCAATCAATACAGTAAATGGTACACACTTTTTCCCTAAAAAGTATCATTTCAAAGTAGAGAATGTTGCTTCTTCCTTAAAGTTGGAATTCCCTTTTTGGTTGCTTATTTTTGCAGGATCTCACTGCTTGGATTTACGTCCAGCGGAGGAAAGTGACGATCCAGAGTGGTTGAGGATTCAACGAGAAAATGAAGTCGACACAATTCAAGGGTGGATCTCACAGTACTACAGTGATCTAAAGTTCAGAGGTTAATCTCGAGCTTCATCTATACAACCAATCTAAGTTTGTGTGAGATACTAAATAAAGTTGTAAAATAAAAGCATAAGTAGTAGCTTTGTTCCTTTCTCTCTTGTTTTGCGTTTGTCTCTCTAGCATGTAATGAAGTGGTTTGGGTTTTGTAATCTAGTGTGTGCTCGGACTATCTTATCTTTATGTAGATGTCGTATGATTTTGATGTATTTTATGTTACCTAAGTTTGATTTTTAAATGTTAATTTTGAAGAAAATAATTTGTACACTTTCGGTTCAACATATTTTCTGACACACTTTTAATTCAACTATTAAAGTTATAATATAAACATAGTTTTATTAAATTAGTTATTATATCTTGTATGCATGACTGTATCTTTAAATTTATTTGTTTTTAATTTCAGAATAAGAAATAATAATTTTTTAATACGTGTGTTGTGTAGTATGTTGAATCGAAGTATATATCAATTACTACTCTAATTTTGATTTTTTTTATAAGAAATATAATTTTATTGATATATGAAAACCCTATGGAATATAGAACCAATTTGAATGAGGGTAATGCACAAAAGATATTCTACTCATAAAATGTGTGAGAACCTAAAATCAAACAATTTAATACTTACATAAATGTTGCAACTAGATCCAAGGTTGAATTTAGTAGTTAAGTCATATTTCAGAATAATCCATCTAAACAGAAGATAAATTGGTTAGGACAAACAATTTTAGTTAGGGACCATATTCAACAACCACAACAAGTACAATAATTGATTTAAGTCCAACCAATATTACATTTAAGTTGTCATCCTCATTCAACAAGAGCAAATCTTGATAAAAAAAAAATCAAGAAAGCCTAAGTAGAAACCCTTGTAAGAGAGGATGAACCAAAATAAAAAAAAATTAAAAATTACAACCAAGTAAAGCCTAGTGTTTTTGAGATGGTCGTAAAAAATTTTATACTCACAACATTCAGAAGGGCCGAACTGTCACATCCGCCTCCAACAGGCTAGCAATGGCAATGTCTGCCACAACGCTGACTAAAAGCAATACCAGCAAAAGAATGGCGATTCCAAGTATGTTCCATGGTGCGGCATTTGTCAGAGTTTGCAGGTGGCACATTCACTAAAAGTAAAAAAATACCCACATTCTCCCACTTAGGGCTTGTCATGAGGCCGCACCGAGGATGGTGGAGCCACAAGCCCACAATGGAGCTTTGAAGTAATTTAACTTTTAGTGAAGAAGAAGAAGAACCTACCTCAACTAGATTGAAGTGACCAACACTTGCTCCTCAATGTCTAAGAAGACAAATTTTCAATAGGAAACATCAATGAGAAAGATATAATTCATTCAACTCTACACATACGTAGAATTGCCAAACATGAGATTACATCAGTCATGATACCCTAGTATTCTACAACGAAAACTTGCCTCCTATAGTCCAACAGTTAAAGAAGGAAGAATGTGATAGGTATCAACTTCCAGAAAATGAAATTGAAAGTGAAATGAACAAGTGGTAGAATGATTGCTACTGCAATATCCTCACTAATCAAACACAAAATTTATTTCTTTTCAGAAACTGTATCTTTTAACAGCAGCAATTGATCAGCGAAAGCACCAGGTTGTATGATATGCTAGGCTGCCTTATTTTTCATTTTTTCTCCCTCCAGAAGAAGATGTGTACAAGAAATAAGTGATGTTAATTCGTCCTGTGTTGCCAAACCAAAGCCTTGCCATCTTACTCTGCCAAAATTGTCGAGCAGGAAATTGTATCTGGAAAACACAAATAAATTAGAAAGCATGTACTTTCAGAAGTAACCAGTTCATCTAGTTGCCATGTCTCATATACTAGAAAATAAGAAGTTTCAATACCCGGTGAGAAGGTTTAGTATCTTAAGTTCTTTTCTGAAGTAATAATGGTCACCAAACGAATAAACAATCTGCCTCTGAAGTCCATCATTCCTTCCATCCTTAGATTTTCTCATAACTCGAAGAAGCAGACTTTTAATTGGATTCCGGCACAAGAGCCATGAGTCTATAAATGACACCTGAAGTAGAAAATATTCATTTGTAAAAAACAATAGGTGATAACTTCAAGACTTGGTCATTTTTGTTAATAATACCTCTTAAAAAATGCAGGAAAATGGCCACCTAGAGTAGTACACAGTCAATCTAGAACCTGACATATAGCACAAAAATAAACTACTGAATGACATTGACATGCCATTCTATTTTGGCTAACAAAGCACAACACTATTTTTCCTCCATTCTGATCAATAGTTTCTGTTTTGGCAGGCCAGTAAAGCATATTGGACTTCTCTATGGGACGAAATAATCTTTGCTAAAATGAGAAGACAGATTTACACAATGAATTCACTAAAGTTGAACATTAAAGTTAGAAATATTGTTGAGAAACAAAACTTGCTGCCATAAACACAAATAGTTACATTAGCAAAAGATAAATAAACACTTTACATAAGTAGTTGCTATTTTATGGAATTACTGAGTTGAGATTTTTTTGGGAGTTAATTGCTACATGGAGTGCAGAATTTTTTAAAATGAAATATAAATGTGAAGTAATAGTACTTCATATAGCTGAACATCCTTGGACTCGCTAAAGGCTTCGCGAAAAGGTGTGCTCCAAGAATCTATCATTGCCTGTCAAGGTAAAGAATTTACATTTAAGTTGCAATAGCAAGCAACAAAAACCAACAATTGACAATAAGACTAGATGGAATTTTTCAGATAGTTCACTAACAAAATAACTAACCAACAATTCTCAAGATGATTACATAATGAAGGGTGTGTAAGACTATAATGCAATATTTTCCAAGCAAGGTGTATAAACTCAACCCCATCAAATCAAGGAAGTAAAGAATCAAAATGTCAAATACCTGAGAGTTTGCTCTAAATGTGAGACAAATTAAAGATGCTTTAGGGGTAGCCAACTTGTTAGCACCAATGACACCCTCATTAAAAGTATTGGGCAACTTTAAGGTTCTACCATCTGAGTAGGTCACTTCCAATTGTGGAAACTTCACGGCTGCCATTGCTGGAATTATAATTTTATTTGCCACTGCAAGCTGCAAGTGCGATATCAAATTGTTAGACAGCCTAAATGTCCATGCCACACTCTTCAGCATTCAAACCATATTAGAAATGACCAAAACGAAGGTCCCACAAATGTCCACCAACAGGTTTGCTAGAAAGTAGGATACTTCAATAAAAAATCAGCTCAATTTGAAAACTTTAACTGAAAAATGAGGATTCTAATTTCATTCCATCTGAGTCAAGAAATGCAGAATTTGGTTTCCAAATTCATTGAGTCAAACTCAGTGTAAACAACTCAACATTCATCAATTTACAGTATAAGGTTAAATGAAAAATACACAAATCAGTACCTTACCACCATGTTGCTTGAGTTCTGAAATGTCCGCGAAATATCCTCTATTCATCTCATCGGTGCTGCCATTGCAATTTGCCATAGATCACATTAAGCGAAATTCATCCAATCTAAAGAATGCATGAAATCAAAGATATGAACCGAGAATAGACACTTAAAACTTACATTCTGTCCCGCTCTTTCTTAATTGCTTCTTTATTTCCAAGCTGCGCAGCAGAGACCAAGAATCTTAGCTTCAGAACTCCTAATTTGCCTCCGCAAATTTTCTACGAAGCCAAACAGAGTCAAAGAAAAGCGAAGGAAAGAGATAAATTACCTGATAGATGTCGAGGAAACGATTCGAGGATCTTCGAGCGGAATGTTGGATAGGAAGAGAAAATAGTTTGTCTTCATGATTGACGAGTTGTTGAGAAGTTAGAATTGTCGCTCTTGCTTGGCTTATGCCTCGATTTACCCTCAGCATTTCCGATTCCGATTCCGATTTCTCTCCTCCGTCAATCTTTATCGGTCTAAACTCTGCAACCACGCCGGCACTCTCAGGGGAAGAGAAAAGAAAGGGATAAAAAACAAAAAATAAAGGAAGAAAAGAGAAAAGACCATCGTATCGGTCCAATGGCCTGCGGAAACGGGATCTGGGTCATTGCAAATGAGTCCAATGCTGTTTATCAAGGCCCAAAACCCAATTAATTTATTATTCTGCGTAGTGGATTTACCATTTACATGCTCTGAGGCCCAAAAAAAAAAAGAACTTTTATTTTCGGTCCCGAAGAAACTGCCTTTATTAACAACCATTTCCTCTTTTTTTTTTTTTTTTTTTTTGCAAAAAAAAAAACAAAAAGGCATTTCTTTTTGCATAGCAATGGCCAATGGATAATATTTTGAGAAAACGACTCTAATACAAACAATCTTATTCTCTAATCGAATCATACAATTGTTACATGACATTAACGAGTGTTGCGTGCGTATCAATTTACATATCTTGTTGAAAATAATTCATCAAAATTAAAATTATGTAAAGACAATGATACTTTACTTTAGGAGAAATCGCATTTATAATTATTTTGAAAAAAAAAAAATCAAGATGTCATCACATGATAAATTTGATAAAATTATGACTTATCCTATACTTTACATAACTAGTGATTGTGATTAAATATTTTAATATTTTTAATGTTAAAACATTCTAATTTTCCTGTTTCTCAATTATTTTTCTATCTCTAAAGTTTGAAGAGGAAAGCAGGAAATTAGAAGGAAGGAAAGATCTCTCAAAATAATACTCTATTACATGTTGAACAGTCCACTCGATAATTTGAACACGGAAAAAAGACTCTTCTATGCTTTCTTTCTGTTGAACACTGAGAATAATAATAATATTCCCTAAAGGCTAAATCTATTGGAGAGCCAAAGTTTCCAAACAAACAAGATCATATATATATATATAATGGCCACGCATGCATATCCACCATTACAAATCTTTCGTACACCAAATAACCAACACCAAACATATACATATATATGTTAATTTATGTTAATTAGTACTTAACTAGCAAAGATTTATGAAATCAACTTACATGTCTGTTTGCTAAAGCATTTATCCTCTACAATATAGCTCAAATCCTCTCGTGAGGCATTATCTCTGATTTTGTGAGAGTTTACTTGGAGACTGATTATTTTGACTTCTTGTGATAAGTTCTTGAATGCTATACTTTGTGTAATAAGTTAGAGTACTTTTTGTACTTTATAATAATATAAAGCCTTCTTTGTTGATGAAAAAAAAAAAAAAACTTACATGTCTGTTTGAGAGCATCAATCCTTTATAAAGTTTTCGAATTGAGACGTAAGTGTTTAAGTAGAATTTTTTTAATTAATAATTAATGTTATAACATGAAATTATATATGCAAACTCTATACTCTTTCTTTCTGGCCATAAGGCCCCATTCAAATTGAAAAGGTTTTTTTTTGGTTAAATTCTCAATTTGATCCCTAAACTATTATATGAACCTCCAATTTGATCCATGAACTAAAAAATCCCTGATTTGGTCTTTAAACTATTGTACGGACCCCTGATTTGGTTCTTATTGGTTACCTATTTACCCCAAGTTAGTCATTCCATACAAAAACCAACTGACATGTTTGTTATTAGCGTGATGTGTGACTGTTAAGTTATTGTTTTTCATCGTTAAGTTATTATTTTTTACCATTAAGTAACAGATACGCCAACTTTTTTTTTGTACGGAAGAACCATTTTAGGGCAAATTGGTAAACAATAAGGACCAAATTGGGGGTTCGTACAATAGTTTAGGGACCAAATAAGGAATTTTTTTTAGTTCAGGGACCAAATCGATGGTTTGTATAATAATTCAGGGACCAAATTGGGAGTTTAACCTCTTTTTTTAAAAATAATTTATTTGTCTTGGGACTTTTTTTCTTGCTCTTTCTGTGATGCACATGCCTCGTGTAGAACATGGGAAAAGAATCAATTGAGTGGAAGAAGTTATCATGGTTGACCTCAATGGGCACCACTATGGATAGGTACAAATGGACGATGGATATAGGTGCCCTTATTGGCCTACCAAATGGAAAACATTTCTGTGTATATTAATCTCTAGTGCTTCTTAATGGGGGTAGCATACTATCAACACAACCATATATACCAGGTTCTATTAATTAGTTTCTCCTTCCTTTTCTCTATTGGGTTCACATGTGTGTTTGGAGAACTGAGAAATGTGAAATGTGATAGTAATATGTACAACAAATATATAATAAATTTGAAATTAGGATTAATTATGTTTATGTTTTTTTAACATCAAACTGTTTTATTTATGTAAATTATTTATACTAAATTTTACATTGATTGAATATGTTTAACTATTTTATTGATATTAAAAAATTTTATACTGTTAAATATAATGTTAGGAAACAAAATTTTCAATCAAATGAATATAGGTATTAAATAAAATTAAAATTTAATATGTATGATTTGTATAAATAGAATAACTAATTTAATACTTATTTTTTAAAAATATGTAGAGACTAATAACATGATGGGAGCATTTCAAGATGACATCTAAAACATATGTATTATGCTACTCTCACAAGAGAGTTTGGTCAGACTCATAATAAGTGAACGATAGAGATTTGTTGAGTTTATATGTGAGTGTTTGTTTATCCATTAGTATCTAGAAATGCAATGAATTAGATTGGCTAGTCCCCCCACACTTTCCTTATCCTTTTATCCCTTCAGTTATTCAAACTTGGTCTATAGGGGTCATCAACACTTCTCCCCCTCCCAATTACATAGCCAATATCAATAGGAGTTTGAAACGGAATTAATCAAGGAGATCTATATATGACAGTTGATATTGTAAAATCAAAATTAATTATCTCATTATATAAGATATGCTACTCTCTGCCTCATAGATGTAGCATAATATTTATTGTTACCCAACTACTAGTTTTGCTTTTAGTTTTCTCACTTCATAAATATTTCCGCCATAATTCTAGCAGTAGCTCTCTCTTTTAGTAATAATCAAGCTTGAGTTTGACCACTAAACTCTTCTAAATCACTGTAATAATTGGAAATCCAGCCTTCAATGGTCTCGACTTCATTTTTCCGTTGTAGGGTTAACCACTCTGGATCACTTGTCTTCGCCGGAAGTATATCCAAGCAATGAGATCCTGCAAAAAAAAATAAAAATAAAAATAAAAATAATGAAATAAAATATATAAGAATTTGATCATATTAATTTTCAATCCACACGTACGTTTTCCCTCAATTATTCGATTTCAGAGTATTATTCTTTATTTGATATGATGGTTTTGAAGGAAAAAAGTGTGTACCATTCACTGTGGAGATTGCAACTACACTGTCTGATATATTTTCCAACACCCTATGATTATCAACAAGAAAATGTTACTCGTATTGAACTTAGGTCATTGGGAGATAACATAAACAAATGAAGTGCAGTGACGTAAACACTTTCGATTTAATATATTTTATAATATTCATTAAGAAATTATTTAAAATAAAAAAAATTTAAGATCACAAATTTTAATAGTTAAATCAATAAATATGTTAAATTAATCAAAAGGTGTAAAAGGTGTATTAATAATTTTTTATAAAAAAGTGAAAATTAAACGATTGATTTATTCCTTTATACCCGCCGCTGCTATGAGGATCTCTGAGGCCGTTTGAAAAAATAATGTTGCTAGCAAATCTATGGAGAGTTAACTTTATATCCTGCAAAAAGCTTAAAATATGAACTAATTACAAAATTTATAAAAATAAATAAATAATTAATTAAAGAAGTTAACTTAAATAATTAATATTAATTCATATAAGCATGTATTAGGAGCATAAACGTACATGGCATCCATAATAAGTGGTGATCCAATGAGGCTGAGGCTGGACGCCAAACAAGCTCTTGCATTCCTTTGTGAAGCTGCTTAGATTGAATGGTGCAGGTTGGAACATGGAGTCATTTTTTTCATGGCCTATGGGAATCACCAGCTCACTACACATCTGCCTCACATATAAATAAAAATGGTTAACTCATTTTAAGAACAGATTAAAAGTAATTACTTGAAGCTTAATTTTTTTTATTAATTATTATTTAAAACACACCTGCCATCTCCATCTATCAGTTGGATCATTATATTGATCCATGTCATAGCATGATTTGTTTCCCATGTAAGCAACAACTCCGGTAAATAATTGGCCGAGGATGTCAGCTCCTTCAGCTGCTCCATCAATGGCACGGCAGAGAATGGTTAAGGGGTAAATTGGGGGTTCATTGTATTGTGCTGCTTCAGCATACATTGAGTCTAAGTAGTCCTTCAAGTCAAAGCTTCTCTTCAGTTTGCTGAATTGAAAAATTCAATTTTATGTGTTAGAAATTTACTTTATGAATATAGTAAGGGAGTATAACTTTTAGTCCAGACTAGTAAACAAAAGAAAAACCGAACTGAAAATGACTATAATATCTTTTCATCATCTTTTAATTAAAATCTAGGGTATTGGGGTGTTGTAGTTATTTTCAATCCGAACTAACATTTTTTTTCCCTATTTGGATTGAAAAACATTAACTTTAATTTATTGAACATGGGGTAGTATATAGTATTAAGCTAAGAAGACGATTAATTCAATTTACCTGCAAGTTTTGAATTTTTGGCTTAGAATTGATAGACCGTCAGGCTTGGAAGCAACTTCGTCTATCTCAGACCAAGATTTTCTAATAGTCTCGTAGCAACTCTCACTAGTTTCCTGTACATGTCACGGTGTTGTCCCACAATTGAAAGATATGCGCGGTAAGGTGCTGTCCAACATGTATATATATAGGCTATGGAGCAGTAAAAAAATAAATTAGAAGAAAGATGCTGCTTTTTTACTTTGAAATCCTTGGTGACAATTGAGTAATAGCCAGCTTGTGGTGCAATGTCATCAAAGTAAAGAATTGGAGCTGACGAAGCTAGAGCCCCCAAGGCGATGTGGGGGTACTTTAGCCGAAACCATGCTGCAAGCACTGCAATATTAAGTACAAGAATAAATTCAAAACCAATTAATTTTAATTACTAGTTATTAATATGTAAGGTTTTTCAAGTTGCTTACTTCCGCCATAAGAACCTCCAATAACAATTATTGGAGAGTCCTTGGCTAATAATGTTTTCTTTACGTGAATAAGAATGGCAGCATAATCTGCTATGGCTTGAGCTGAGTTGAAAAAACCCCGAATACTAGCGTTTTTCATAGCTTCTTCACTCGAATATCCAAATGGTATTGACTTCCCATAAAACCGGTGCTGCCAATAATGTAACAATTTCTTAATTTAGGATAGAAGAAACAGGGGAACAGAAACAGAGTTGACTTGTTAAATATTGTTAGTTACCTCTATATAAACAAGTAGGGCCTTGAAACGAGAGGCATTATCAGTGAGGAATCCGATAATAGAAAGATCATAATCCAAATCCGTTTCTTCACCAAGGAATGCAAAGATTGGTGCACTGGAATTTACACCACCCCAGTACTTGGAATTGATCACATATCTTTGTTGAAAAGTTGAGTAACTTTCAGGCTTGTAGTTGAAATGATCCAGCCTTTGGCAATAAAAGAAGAACTGAAAATCCTGGGAAGCAGTGGCAGGATTGAATATTTTGGGTTCATGGTGGGTTGCTGTTCTACTGAATGCACCTATCCTTGGGTTCTTGAACCCTTTTGCTGAGACAGGGAACATAAAGATGATTAAGAAGAGTATAAGAAGCTGAAATGAGTTTCTGAGTAAATCCATGGCCTTGTTTTTAATGCAAGAACATGGCTTAGAACTTGTGTCTTGAGTTTATGTTGCAAGATTAATTAGCACTTAGCTCTCTATATATAGTGTTAAAAGTTTGGTATGTGTTAAATCATAAAATTATTATAATAATATATAATAATATAAATATATCTCTGTTGGTTCATGTAGCATGTCCTATTTGTTCTATACATGATTAGAGAGAAATGTTGAGAATAATGCTTGTTGTAGAAGGTAGGTTAACACCACATGCTTTTACAATTTTTAAACTCAAGTAGTAGTAGCTTAGGTAGCTTATTGATTAAACTTTGATTCTTAATTTATAAAAGTTATAAAGAAAGTAATTTATGTTTTCTTATGAATTTTATTATTCTAATATGAATAATCAGTTTGTTTTTGATTTAACAAGAGGTAGTTGAATTTAATTGGATTTACACAAACTGGTTTAGGATACCATGTGGCTGTTGGAATACCATACATCAGATTGCGAAGAGAATAAAAAGCCTCCTTTTTACGGGTAGAAAAAAGAATAAGAATATATCCAAACAAACCAGGCAAAAGATAGGCTTAGTTTGAATAGGCACGCAGGATGCCTGGTTCTTAAAATTAATCAAACTAACCCTTTTGTTTTTCCTACTTGTGAATATATTCTTATTCTCTTTTATTTTCTAAAATGGATGGTCAAATTGAATTTACAGATTGCAGCAAAATTCACTAATGCTTAAAGAATCTAAACTCTGAATTTTTTTTTTTTTTTTTGGATCAGCCATCTGAACCCTTAAAATAATTTTCAGCGAGAGACTCACACATATTCTAATCTAATTTGAACAAACATATAAGTTAAAATAAAAGCTTAACTATGTGAACCCATATTTTATGACATAATCCTAAGTAGTACGATGCTTCCAGGATGTTTGCAAGTGCAAAGATCTAGTCGTAAATTTTGGAACAGTACTTTTTTTTTTTTGATCAGCGAAACAAATGATATATATTAATCAGGAGTATAAGAAATACCCCAAAATAAAATTACAACTAACAAGTAAAATGTTCAAATGAAATCACATGAAATCACACTTGAAGCCCGGAACCAGCATCTACTGAATGAATGTCGGGAAACTTTATAGCTACGCCATGTCTTTAATCAAACCAGCTGATTCAACTAATTTAGCCATAGATGCGCGTATGTATTATGATTTGGTTTGCTTTTGTGCACAAGGTTAAATCTCCACTATGGTTTGGATAAAATTAGGTCATCTTGTTAAGATTAAGAGATTTATGAAAAAGTATTACATCATTAATCTCTCAAAAATTTAGATTTAAATTATGATCAATATAGAAGGGAGTAATATTCATCAAAAAAATATAGAAGGGAGTAAACGTGTCATTTTCAGTTAGCCTAATTTATCCATAATATTAATGACATAAGCTCTTCTGGTTGCTGCATATCAAAACCCATCAAATAATGCTTGTAATGAATGATGTTATTGCTCTTAAATTCGATGGCCAACATATAGCAATATTGGTGACAAATCTATTTATGGTGGCAGCACTTCTTATTAAAATTAATTAACAATCTCTAGTTAAAGCTATGGTTTAGCAAGTTTTCTCAGGTTTTAGCGCTTTTGGTTAATCCACATATATGTCATGATTACGAAGGATAATGCTTTACTATGCCTTCAGTGCTGGTACCCCAAAAACATGATCCATATAAAATTAGTAAAAAAAAGTTACTTCTTGTTTCTCATTTGTGTGTTCAACGGAGTGTTTTTCTAGTGTAGTGGTCCTGTATTTTGAAACAGTTTTGTCAAAAGATTAGCATATGGTATTAGTATATTCAAGAGGAATTAACTCCCCTTATCTCTTTTAAATCAAACTTTGAATATTAAGGCGAGGACTAAGAAGAAAATTGTTTTTACCAACTAGATTACTTTAATTGTTTTGTATAATTAATGAGATCTTGGTCTAACTAGTAATAAAAGACATTAATTAAGATTTTGAAAGATTTAAGAATAGGATCCCTCAGCTCTAAATACAACCCCCCCCCCCAAAAAAAAAAAAAAAAAACAATTGTCCAAGTTTGCATTCTTAACTTTAGAACTAAATTAATAATTCAATAGTTTTAGTTAGTAAGTATTGCAAGAATTAATTAGTTTTTCTTTTTTCTTCATGTTCAAAGATTTATACGTGGTATGGATCATCAGCTGAGTTTAGGAAAATTAATCCTCACATGGGTCAACTGGTTTATTTTTAATTAATAAAGTAATGGAAGTTTGGTAATTGGGATGATGAGGAAACGCACGTATGAGGTATAGTCCACAACCAAATTGACATCTATCCTATGCTCTACTAGTAAAGATTTGATCCACAGATTTGGTAGTAGCTCCCGTTTCTTGACCAAATTATAAAATCTTATAAAAGAAAAAGGAGGAGAAGAAGAAGAAAAAGCCTACTAAGGTTTCAAATTAAAGCCTTAGTTTATGTTATGGTTTATAATAGATATAGATTACAATTTATGTTAACCTCTAATACATATCAATCAATCAACGCATCATAAACTCACCACGTAAGTCAAAAACTTGAATAAACTCATTGTAGCTCTTTGAGGTTTTTATTGTTTTCAACTTGGGGCAAAGCTTTACCTCAAGCCAGACTCATCTTAGAGGGTAGAGCCTCTCTCATAAAGGCTCCTACTCTCCTAAAATTTGTCATTAACCTCTCTAATTAATTTCTAAGAGAAAGAATGACTCCGATGACTCTTAGATACATGCAGTTTAAGGACATGCTTCTGGTTCAAAGTTTCAGGCCAATACCCCTTACCAATATGGTAAGACTTTATTGGCGAGTGAGGTGGGTCTGCTAGAGTTTTACTATAGAAAGAAACCATAAATTTCCACTTTAAAATGATTAGAAACCCTATTTGCTCCAATCAGATAAGGCATCAAAAAGTGCAAGGATATTCATTACCCAACATCATATCATATGTATCCAGAGTCATAAAAATAATTTTAAAAAATTGATGCATAAAGGCCCAACCATAGGGACCCTGTTTTTCCAGAATGAAGCCATTCAATGTATTCAAATGACTGAGAAAGTAGAAAATGTATCTAGTGGAGTGGAGTGGAGTGGAGTGGAGTGGGGGGCACAACAGTTATATTGCCACAAAAACAAAATGATGCCTCTTGACATCAGCAGCAGTGCCAACCGCATCTTGAGATAATGAAGGCAGCATCGTTTCCCCGCAGAATCCATATATTTATATAATATATAAAGAAAGTAATATTTAATCACCTCACTTCTTAAAGGTTAAGAGAAAAGCTATTAGATGTTATCTCCATCTTGAGAAATATTTATATATATAGCATATGAGGTTTATATTTATTTATCTTACTTTTTAAAAATTAAGAGAAAAATTATTTTAAAAATATATCATTTTAATAAAGTATCATGAAGAAAGACCAAAATAACTTTAATTCGTATTTTAAAAATAAGGTATTTTAATATTTTTTAATAGAAATTTATTAAATTTATGTAGTTTTAGAATAATTTTTCTCTTAATATGTAGAAGGTAAGATGAATAAATACTATTCTCATAATATATAGATTTTATGTTCTATATTCATGATAATTTCATTTTGGATATATATCATTTTTTTAAAAAAATTTAAAACTGCTTATTAGATGTAATAATCGCGTATCTTTTTACCATCAAATCCATATACTTAAGTTTTGAACTTGAACACTTTTTTTTCCTAATTTTATCTTAAAATAATTGTTATGTTTTTATTCTTTTTAAATTAAAAATTTAAAGACAATTTATATATTTATCTATATCACATTTAAAAAAAGTTAAAATATAAAACTAAAATTTTTTATAATAGAATAATTAATTAAAATAAATAATAATAAAATTAAAATAAAAAATATTTATTTGTCTTAAAAATTAAAAATACGATAATTATTTTGAGATAGGGTATATATATAATAATTATTTAACTGATTAAATTATTGGCTCACATCTTTCGAGTATATTCTATGATAATCCAGTATTTCCTACTATTGAAGAGAAAACAAGTGGGTACGTATATATAGAAATTACCAAAAGAAAGTGGATATAGAGATTGCATTTTAATAATTTGACTAAAGGAATCTACCATCTTTTTTTTCTTTTTGTTAAGGTAAATAATACTGTATCATTTTTTTTTTTTTTTTTGTAATATGGTAGGACCGTAATGGGGAGGTAGAGGTTCACCTTTCACACTATATTAATTTTGTCGAATTTTTTAAAAGCAATTTTAAGGGGTGGAGAAAACAGTCTTGTAGCCTAAATAGATTGTATAAAAAAATAAAAAAATTATTAATATATTTTTTGATTTGATATATCTATTGATATTTATTAATTTAATTATTAAAATATATAATTTAAAAATTTTTTCACTATTAATTTTAAAATAAAATAATTTTTTAAATAAATACATTATAAAATATATTAAATTATAAAATTTCTGCATCAATGTCTAAAAAAAAATGATGTCATAGATCTACATCACATAAGTGCAGAAGAATGGTGGTGTACACCATACATTGACAGGAGCAGTATGATGCAAAGTTGGGGGGGCTTATCCTGGCAAATGCCACCGCTGCATATTGGTCATTTGAAGACTGGCTTATCTCCCTTTCATGTTTCTATGGGAATGCAGTCAAAGTAAGGATAATGGCGGGTAGTCATTTCAGTTGATTAACGTGGAATAATCTCTGTGGCCCTAAGAGGGGAGGTATACCCCGTCAGATTTAATCAAGCTGAATCTCCTTTCAACATTTTTCAAAGCCAACCTTGATATGATGTTTTCAATGATTAAAAATTAAAGACAAGTTAAAAATTGGTTAAATGTTAAATTTGGTCCCTCATTTTTATAGAGTTGCATTTTTGGTCCTTTAATAGTTTTTTGCACTTTTTTGATCCTTCAATTCTAAGAAATGCATAACATTGGTCCTTCCGTTAGTTAAGCGTGACGTGACTGTTAAATAATATAATGTGGCAATTTTTTTTAATTCTTTTGATGACGTAACAATAATATGTACTGTAATTTGATTACGTGTACAAACAATAATGCCAAATAAAATGAGCATTCATATTTTTAATTAAAAGAAATAAAAAACAAAAAATTTTATCTTAGCACCTGGTCTCCTTCAATCTATCTTCTTCCCCTTTTTCTTTTTCTTTGCTCTAGTTAAGGTTGAACACAACTACTGGGTTCAACTAATCCCACTTGCTGGGTTTCATTGAACTCGACCTATTGGGTTTGATCGAACCCAGCAGCTAGGTTCGACAGAGAGGGAAGAAAGAGGGGAAAAAGGAGGGGAAGAAAGAAACAGGGCAACCTTTGCAATTTTGTCCAAAGAAAAACAAGGCAACCGTAACCTACAATTTAGTTGTGTTTACAAGTTCTATTATGTCATAATCGAAATTTGCCTTTTCGTATCTATGTTTTTCTAACTTGTGTAACATTGATTAAGTCTCCTTAATTAAAATTTTAAAAAATTTTAAAATTTGAAAGAAACCCAACCGTCATCGCCATTCAAGTGCTATCTTTTCCATTCCCCCACTCTTTTCCCCTTTCCCTCACTGCAACTTGATCGCAAATTAAAAAAATTTATCCATGTTCAACCTTAAATTCATGTGAACTAAATAAGGAGAAGGAAAAAATGAATGTTAATGTGCAAGATGGAACCTAGATCTGTTGGGTTTGACAGAGAGAGAAGAAAGAGGGGAAGAAGGAGGGGAAGAAAGAACGAGGGGAAGAAGGATGGGAAGAAGGGGTTCGACAGAGAGGGAAGAAGGAGGGGAAGAAGGAGGGGAAGAAAGAAATAAGGGAAGAAGGAGGGGAAAAAGGGGATCAACGGAACCCAACAGATTTGGGTTTGATAGAGAGGGAAGAAAGAGGGGAAGAAGATGGATTGAGAGTGGGAGATGTGTTGGTTCGTCAATACCCAGCACAGTCGAACGAACCCAATAGCTAGGTTCCATCAAACCCAGTTGTTGGGTTCTATTTGGGTTCGATGGGTAGGAAATAAAGAAAGAGAAAGAGAAAGAGAAAGAGAAAGAAAGAAGGGGAAGAAGATGGATTCAATTGAGAGGGTGAGGATAATAAAGTAATTTTGTTTTTTATTTTTTATTAAAATATAAATATTAGTGGTATTTTTATTTATTTATGTAATATAATTATAATAAATGATATTGCCACATCATCAAAAGAATCAAAAGAAAATACCACATGGAATTATTTAACAGTTACGTCATACTTAACTGATGAAAGGATCAACGTTGTGCATTTCTTAAAGTTGAGGGATCAAAAAAGTGCAAAAAATTATTGAGGGATCAAAAAAGTGCAACTCTATAAAGTTGAGGGATCAAATTTAGCATTTAACCTTAAAAATTTTAAATTTAAATTTAATTCAGATAAAAAAATAAAAAAATTATTCTTATTAGATAATCAATTATTTGGTGTAAAGAAACATTCTTCAGGGCCTCTGTTAGCGAGAGAGGGAGAGGCCACAGTCCCTTTGCGTTGCGTACACTACATCAACAGGAAAAGTAGGGAAAAGAAAAAATAAATGTTAAAGTAATGTTAGTGGTGAAAGGAAATAATCTAATCATAACTTTTGCATATAATTTTTTTTATTAAGAAAAATATTTATAAATTATATTTATAAAAAAATTAAATAAAAAATGTATTATTTAATAAAATTTTATTAAAAAAATTAAAACATACTAACTTTCTAAGTTAAAATGTAGGTATATTAGTCTTATTTTATAGTGTTTTATTAAAATGATATGATTGTAAGTATTAATCTATCTATTTTTTTTTTACAAATACAGCTATAAACACTAATATTATTTTATTATTTAATAATTAATTCTTTTCGCTTTACTAATACTTATTAGATTATATATATTTATTTGATAACATATATAAATTAAAAAATAATCTTTGTGAAGAAAAAAAAAATTTATTATTTACAAGTGTTTTTCATTAAAAAATTATATATTTTTAATATAATTAACATAATTATGAACCGGGCCTTTAGGCCCAATGATTCGACCCCAAACCTTAAGTGTTTGGGTGAAGTGATCAGAGTTTCGAGCTCTACCATAATTGTGAACTCCACCAAAAAATGACTTAATGGCCGCGCGCCTCATTTGAGGGGGTGAAACGTTCACCCAGTCTGAGAATCGAATCCTCAGTTGCTAACAACTAATTCATATTAATTTCTTAATCATTATCCTTGTCAAAAAAAGAAAAAAAACATAATTATAATCTATTTACATCTAAGGATGAGACAACGAGATATAAAAGATAACTAGAAAAATTTCTAAAGAGATGAGAGAGAGAGGTAGAGAGAGAGTGAGAAGGGATCGAGGTGGACATCGTTCAAGGGCTAGACAGATGGCACTGATCTGGGAGCAAGGCGGATCTCGTCGAAGATGCTACCAAAGGAACAGGGATCCGAGTGATTTGGGGAAAACAAGGGATGATCAATACCAGGGTCGAAAAATGCAGAGAGGTGGGCCTTATAACTGGGGTCTATACAAACAAGCAACAACATTTTTCTTTACCAATGTTCCAGATGATTGGAGCTATGAAGGAATGTGGAGCACGTTCTTGAAATTCGGTCGAGTGTATGACATCTATTCTCCAAATAGAAGAAGTAGGAATGGAAGTAGATTTGGCTTTGTGAGATTTCTAGGGGTGACAGACAAGAAGGAACTGGAAAGAAAGCTGGATCAGATCCGGGTAGGAGACCAGAAACTGTGGGTGAATATGCCCAAGTATGATGCTGAGAAGCATGAAGGTGGGGTGAATAGAAAAAGTTCTGGAATGATGAAAGTAGATCAGAATAGAAGTTATGCCGAGGTGGTGAAAGGAACACAAGAGAAGGTAATAGTAGGGGATTAGAGCATACAGAGCATGGTGGTCCGAGACAGAAGCAGAAGAAATGACAAAGAAAGTAAGAAGCATGCAGGGCAAGACAAGCAAGGGAGTTACCGAGATAGAAGTAGACACCAGTACCGGAAAACCGCAAATAGGAAAGTGTGGAAAGAAAGAGGAAGGAGAGTGAAATGGGCAGGTATGGAGTTCAACGTAAAACCTGAAGAGTATGCTTGGCTCGAAGGCAGTTATGTTGGAATAGTGCATTCTGTGGAGATGGTACGCAATTTACAAGAAAAATTTTATATGGAGGGGTATTTTTCTTGTCAAATCCGAGCAATGGGAGGCAAAATGGTACTGTTAACAGACCAAGACAAGGAGGAAGTGAAAGACTTAGTCAAAATGGCTTCAGATTGGCTACGGCAATGGTTTGAAGAGGTGAGGCCATGGACTCCACAGATGACAGCAAAAGAGAGATATGTGTGGATAAGGTGTCAAAGGGCTCCAGTGAATGTATTGGGAAGTGATTTCTTTTCAACCATGGGCCATTCATGGGGAAATTTCATGTGCTTAGATGATAGTACAAGCAAGAAGGAAAGGTTCGACGTCGCAAGATTTTTGATTTCTACTCCAATAATGGAGACAATATCAGTTCAAGGGAAATCAAAATCAATGGAAGCTTATACAAGCTGAAATTTACAAAAGAGGAATTCACCAATTGCTTTTTCTCTTTGAAGCATGATTTTATACCTTCTTTTAACAGTGAGTCTGAAGATCGGGAATCATGGTCCATCGGAACAGAGCCGGAGATGCTTGAGGAGGTTCAATTCGGGTGTCTAGTTGAAGAAGATGATGACGCAAGAAGACGTAGGAAAGAGGAAGAAAGAAGTAAGTTAGTACAAATCAGCAAGGAAGCAGGGGTTGCAGCAGAAACCGTTGGTGACAACCTAGATGAAATTCAAAATTCAAATGCAAGGGAAAGAAGCAGGAGGACAGATGGTGGGGCTACAGGACAGACGGTGCAGGCCTCATCTTCGAAAATTGGAGATAAAGTAGGAGAAGAAATTAATCACAAATTGAAGCCCAGAGATCAGCCAATGGTAAGGCCCACCTCGCAGAAGGAAAGCCCAATGGCAATGGAGTCCACAAATGTGGATGGGGCCCAAATAGAAACAATAAAGGAGACTCCAATTACACAATAAAATAGGGACATTTCTGGAATCAGAGAACCTGCAGAAGAGAAGGGCGGTGAAGAAGAAGATGCATTCTGGAAGGGTCATGAATCAAAGAGAAGCCGAATTGAAGTTTGGATCGGCAAACAGCTGGAGGAGATTAACTCAAAAAATCGTAGAAGGAAGGTCAGATGGTGTAGCTCGGTGTATGGACAACCCAGGATCAGTGAGGCAACGGCAGAAAGAAAGAGAGGAATAAAGAAGAAGAACTCGCAGCAAAAGGAGGAGAGACCAGCACCAATCTTCAAGCCGAACTAGGAAGGAAAGGCTGCTGGAGACTCGGTAGGGGATAGTGATATTCATAATGTTAACAGGGCATTGAAGAAATAGTGGCAAACCCAACTCGCAAAGGAGATATGGGACTTGGCGACGCAGCTCGGAGTGGTGGCGGAGAACGACAATGAGGTGATTCAACGAATAGAGGAGATGGAGGATAGAGATCAAAGAGCAAAAATGATTATGGTGAACCGAGAGGAAGAAGGCAGCAGGAAGGTATGTGAAGCACCCAATGATAATTATGTCATTTAATGTTAGGGGTCTTGGAGGGGTAGGGAAGAAAGCACAGATTAGGGAGTTAGTTATCAAAGAGAAAATTCAATTTTTAGCTGTACAAGAAACCAAGATGGATACAATTGATAGAAAGATTTGTAGAAATTTATGGGGGTCTGAGGATATGGATTGGGTTGCAAAGTCGTCTACAGGCATGTCTGGAGGTCTGATATGTGTCTGGGATTCTAAAATTTTGAAGAAGAAAGAGACTATAGAGGGGGATAATTTTATTGGGGTATTTGGACTGTGGGGAGTGGAGGAGATACCTGTATACATTTTAAACATTTATTCCCCCTGTCAACTTTCAAGCAAAAGAGCCTTATGGGAGGAGCTGCAAGGTCTAATTAATAGCAGAAAGGGGATGTGGTGCTTAGCAGGGGATTTTAATGCTGTAAGGAGGGTTGAGGAAAGAGCTGGATGTAAGGTGGTTTCAAATGAAATGAGGGAGTTTGATGCTTTCATCCACAACACTGAGTTGTTTGACTTACCGTTGATAGGGAGAAAATACACTTGGTATAATTCAAATGGGCAACAAATGAGCAGAATTGATAGATTCCTGTTTTCTGAAGAATGGATGTCAAAGTGGAGCGAAATGAAACAGTGGGGTTTGAAGAGATCTGTATTGGATCACTGCCCTATAGTGATAAAAAATGAGTAGGTCGACTGGGGCCCAAAACCGTTCAGATTTTTTGATGCTTGGTTGGATCAACTTGGATGTAAGGAAGTGATTACAAGTGTATGGAGTGACAGCGAAGTAAAGGGATGGAATGGATTTAAACTTAAAGAAAAGTTGAAAAGAACAAAGAAGGCATTGAAAGAGTGGAGTGGCAAAACCAACGAGGAGATGGAAGGAAGAATAAAGGAAGCAGAACTACTGATCGCTTCAATTGATGAGAAAGGAGAGCAGCACCAGTTGTCAGATAATGATATTGAGTTGAGAAGGAACAGTTTTATTGAATCGTGGAAGAATTTAAAAATCAAGGAGAGGATGAGTCAACAAAAATCAAGAAAGCAGTGGCTAAAGGAAGGTGACGCGAATACAAAATTCTTCCATAGAAGCATCAAGGGAAGATGGTGTAGAAATGAAATCAATAGTATCCGGATAAATGGGGAGCAGTATACAGGAGTGGAGGTAATAAAGCAAGAGGTTGCTAAGTACTTCCAAGAATTATTTTCAGAAGAAAATTGGAGGAGACCAAAGCTTGATGGAATATGCTTTAGGCAAATCACACAAACTGATAATGAGCTCCTCATTACTACTTTTTCAGAACAGGAAATTAAAGAAGCAATATGGAATTGTGATCCTTCCAAATCCCCAGGACCAGATGGATTCAACTTCAGATTCATCATGACAATGTGGGAGGTTATTAAAGATGATATAATCAACTTTGTACGGGAGTTCCAACAACATGGCAAGCTGGTCAGGGGGTCAAATGCCTTTTTCATTGTGTTAATTCCAAAGACAGAAAATCCACAAGTAATAGAGGAATTCAGACCCATTTCGCTAATAGGAGTCACTTACAAGATCATTGCAAAGTTATTAGCGAACTGATTACGGAAAGTGTTACCGAAGGTGATTGGGGAGCAGCAGATGGCTTTTATTGAAGGAAGGCAGTTAGTGGAAGGGGCAGTGATTGCAAATGAGATTCTCGACGAAGTTAAGAGGAAAAAGAAGAAGGGATTCCTATTTAAAGCCGACTTCGAGAAAGCCGACTTCGAGAAAGCTTACGACAAAGTAAGCTGGGAATTCATAGACTACATGGTGATGAGAATGGGATTCTGTGCAACTTGGAGGAAATGGATTCAGGAGTGCTTGAATTCGAGCTCAGTATCTATTCTAATCAATGGCAGCCCGACGAATCAATTCCCGGTTAATAAAGGCATCCGTCAAGGAGATTCTTTATCCCATTTTCTATTCTTGATTGTGGCAGAGGGGCTGAACGGACTAATGTCATCGGCAGTGGATAAGGAGAGGTATAAAGGAGTGGGCATTGGGAGTGGAGATGCGATGGTCACACACCTTCAATTCGCGGATGACACAATCTTCTTTGGGGATGCAACGGAAGACAATATTAGGGTGATTAAATGCATTATGAGAACATTCGAGTTAGCCTCAGGGTTGAAGATTAATTTCAAAAAGAGCCAGTTGATTGGTGTGGGAGTTGATCAAAATTGGAGTGCTAAAATGGCATACCAATTGTGCTGCAAGGAAGGGAAATTGCTATTCAAGTACTTAGGAATCCCAATTGGCGGGAATCATAGAAGAAAAGCCATGTGGCAGCCTATGGTGGAGTTTGTTAGAGAGAAGTTAGCCAGCTGGAAGGGGAGGTATCTATCGATGGGAGGCCGCATCACGCTCATCAATTCAATGTTGTCAAGCCTACCAGTGTTCTTGATGTCTGTCTATGTTATCCCAAAAGGTATAATTCAATCCATTGACAAACTTCGTAAAAGCTTTTTATGGGGAGGGAAGGGAGATGAGAGAAAAATAAATTGGATTAGCTGGGATAGAATGTGTAAAAAGAAAGAGGAAGGAGGGTTAGGAGTGAGGGATTTGAGGAAATTCAACTTGGCATTGATGGGAAAATGGTGGGGAAGGCTTGCTGAAAGTGGGGAGGGCATGTGGAAAAAAATAATTATAGAGAAGTATGGTAAGGGAGGGGGTCATTAGCAGGATTGGATTGCTGAAAAAAGAGGAATAGGATCAACGTGGTGGAGGGATGTGTGTGATATAAACACAATGAATGGGGACATCTATGGTTGGATTAAAGAGGGTTTCAGGGTTAACATTGGGGAGGGTAATACAGTTAGTTTCTGGTGGGATAAATGGAGGGGAGAGGAGTGTCTTGCTAATATGTTCCCAAGACTGTATCTGTTATCTACAGAGAAGATGAAGATGTGCAGTGAAATGGGAAGGAGAATCAACGGGTCATGGGAGTGGAATTTATCATGGAGGAGGAGCTTGTTTGATTGGGAAAAGGAAGAAGCAATGGAATTACACAACAAGATTCAAAATGTG